GGCCCAGGGTGGGGCAAATGAGGGTGGGGGCAAGTGTGGGTGTTTCACCTACCCCACCTACAATTTTGATGTTGTCGGGGCCGGGGCGTGAACTGGCGATCTTCGGATCACAGGCCCACCTCTCTAACCTCTGCGCCACCACTCCCCTCCCCAGTTTGTTCTCGTTGTCGTTTCTTCTTCGCGTTTGTTCTTGTTCTTGTTTTTCGTTCTTTTAAGCTTGTCCTGATCACCTTTTTTTTTAACACTATTGTGTTAACTATTTGTGTAAATACAGTTTTTTGTTAAAAATAAAAATCTTCGTTTGTTCTTCATTTCTTCTTGTTCCTTCTTGTTCTTCTTCTTCCTGTTGTTCCTTCTTGTTCTTCAGGGGTCGCCACAGCGAACTAACTCACACGAAGAACTGACAATTGTTTTTATGTCGGACGCCCTTCATGACGCAACCACAGACCACCGAGCTACCACAGCCCTCCGTGTGGAGCAGAGAGCTGCTATCTAGGGTCCCAGGGGGAGTAGATGGTGGGGGTTAAGGGCCTTGCTCAAGGGCCCAGAGTGGGGCAAATGATGGTGGAGACAGGTGTGGATGTTTCACCTTTCCCACACACATTTTTCATGTCGTCTGTCCAGGGAGTCAAACCGGCAACCTTCCGATCACAGGCTCGCCTTCTCTAGCCTCTGCGCCACCACTCCCCTTCAATATTTGCTGTATCATTATTAAAAATAAAAGTGAAACAAAATCTGTCCTAACAAAAAAAAGGTTTTGCAAACGTGCACCAAAGTCACGTTGAAAGCAAATGTGTCCTGAGCGTGTGCACATATTTTTTTTTTTCCTTATTTTTACGTGCACACATGCAATCACATACTATAATCAAAATAATGTTCTCACTTATCAGTCTCTGAGATTTGGATGCACAGATGAGTCTGATGCATCGTCTCCTCCGATTGGTCCTCGTCAGCTACAGTAACTGTTAAAAGTTCTGAGTCTCTCGATGTGAGGCGCCACCGAGAGGCCACAGCAACTAAAAGAAATAAAATACACAAACTCAGTCAAATTTGTAGATATTGACCTAAAACTTGGGAGTGGTAGTAGCTGAGGGTGATCCTCAAGACATAATACGAGCCAACAGACTGTGTAAGATCTTATCGGCTGTTTGGAGTCAATTACTGCTCGTCTGTTAGCAAAACATCTCATGAACCACTACACAGATTATAGAGAAACTATCAGGAAATAATAAGTGACCATTTATTTATTTATCTACAGCTGATTACCTTCTGGAGTCAGTTCAATTCAAGATGGCCGCCACAGCTAACTGCTCTTAGAAAATACAAATACAGCTAAAATTCTGTCAGTTTTGCAGATACCTCGTAAATTTCGGTGTGGTTGTAACTGAGTAATTTAGAACGCATTCTCCAACTTATTGCACGAGATCTGCGCTTTAAAAATTGGCATTAACATTTGGAGTCGATCCTGCTCGTCTGTTAGCAAAATAACTCATGAGCCGCTGTTTAGATTCTAATGAAACATTAAAAGTTTAATCAATGGATGTCCGTCTACAACCGATTAATGTTTGGAGTAAATCCAGTTTAAATTAGCCGCCACAGCAAATCCAACTTAGCCAACACAAAAATGGCTATAACTCTGTTGATTTAAGATACTGAAGTAAAATTCTGGAGTCGCTCTCTACACATTCTGTTCTTTTTTTTTTTTGCAACATCTTGACTGTTCTTCAGGTTTTAACAATGTGAAAATAATACACCCCCCGACAATTTAGTAAAACACCTTACAGTTCTGTCTCCGCCGCAACTGAAACTTAAATAATTAAATACATTCGAGCTCTGCATGAAAAGCTCATTCTGTTTTTATTGTTTTATGCATAAATTTAATGCAAGCTAAAGACTGACGGTAATGTAAAAAATAAAATAAAATCACTTTTTCCTTCTGGTGCAAGATGTCTGACACACACACACACACACACACACACACACCGTGATCAAAAGGAGAAAATCAATTTATCATTTCTTTCTGTCCCATTCGTTTCTTCTTTTGTTGCAGAAAAGTCTGAAGCAAATATTACGAGCAAGTAAATATTTATTAAACTCTCTGAAGATGTTAACAAGAAATGCAAAAACATGGAACATAAATTACCTCATAAAAGCAAAGTTCAAAATAATAATCAAACTAAAAAAATCTTTGGAATAACACAACTTGTGTGCCGATATATGGGCACATTTTTATTTATTTGTTTGTTATTCAGGACATCGCTGAACACCCTAAATAACTTTTTTTCCACTCAACCTTAGAAAGCATCTTTAAAGTTTTTAACAAATGACCTTAAAATACGATTAAAAACTCTGTGACTCTACAAAAGATAAGAACTGATTCTGCACAAGGCAGGAAGAGAATAAAAATAATAAACTTCAGGCGGTTCCTCGTCGGAGAACGAAATGTTTTTAGTCGAATCTGAAAAAAGTCTCAAACGGAACCAGCTGTAGAAATGTTAGCGAGGTGAATCTGATACTTAAAACAATTTCAAACAAAAACGTATAGATGTAAATAATGTACTTTTCCAAGTTGAAGTCATACAAATTGAGGCAAAGGTTTATAAACTTCACCAGATTGTTATAAATTATATATCTGAACAATAACACAATATAAAACAATCATTTGATAAAATAAATAATTTGGGGGTAAAAAAAATTCTTGGACATATCTTCTCTGATTTAAACAACTGGACAAACATTATTTAAACAGTTTTTAATCTTTATATCCTGCCCTAAAGCTGCACAACAGTAGGACAATATGAAGTTGGAATATTATTATTAAAAATGACAATATCTGTTGTGATAAACCAACTTTCATCTGCTACATTTCTCTAAATCAGCTCTGGGTGTTTAGATTCGTGGGGACCCGTCTGGTTGCCAGATAAGACAGCAATCCATCGTTTTGTTTCCATTCCAATACTTTGAGATTTTAGATTAACACTGTGCTCATTTCTGAGTTTGTTTAAACGTATTCATGAAAAGAAGGACGCTGCCTTATAAATAATTTAGCACATCTTTGTTTGTTAATTCCACTAGATAGATACAATAAATTAAAATACACTTTAAGTGTAAAACATAAAAGGCCCAGTTTGTAGATTTAAGATACCTGAAATGCTAATTATGGTTAGCTTTACGCGTTTGTTTTGATTAGGGAAACCTAAATTACTGCTTTCTGCTTATGAAGGTATTTTTAATTATTCAACGATGAGCTAGGTACCATATTTTTTGAACTATAAGGCACAATTAGGATTGTCACGATAAACGATAAACAATAAATCAATTAATCGCATGATAAACGAAAATTATCCACCTCCATTTTCATTTATCGGCTTTATCGTTTCTTCGTGTCTCTCTTTCTACTGAAGACACTGGATGACAAAAAAAGGCTCAACTCCGGTGCTTTTCACTGACCCTCCCTTTCTCTTTTCTCTGTTAAATCTAATTTTTAACCGTCCAAAATCACGTTTTTGTATCGTTAAAAGCAGTTTAGCTGAGAAGCTAAGCTACAAGATGAGCTAACAGGCCGACCTCGGAGGGGGGGGTGTAACTCCGTCTTGTCGAAGCTCCAAAATTCACGGTTGAAACGTTCACGTAAAAAGTTGTTTTTCTCTGCAAAAGAAGCTGAAAACTTGTTTACTGATTGTTTAATTAAAAGCTCTGTGTGAAAAATGTTATGCTAAAGAGCTCAAACCACACAGAGCATCCGCCATTTTGAAAACCACAAAAAGACAGCCCACGTCACGTCAACGGACCTCCCTCTCATTTGTCTTAAAGAGTCATGCTGCTCGCTCCCTCACTATCCATCCTTCGGTTCAAACAGTCTTATACTGCCATCCAGTGGTCAAAAAAGATACATGCAAAACTAATTAAACATTTCTTCTTAAATTTGACAATAATTACTAATTCTCGTTAAACTTCAATCAATATTATCGTTTATCGCGATAATTTCTGAGACAATTAATCGCCCAGCAAAATTTGTTATGAATCAATGAACAGATCTGTTTTCATACATAAGGCAAAACGAAACCACCACAGGAATACTTCCTGGTTTCTTTGAGCGGTGTGTACCACATAAAATCGGTTTGAGGTCAGTAAGCACAACCAGAATTAATACATAAGGCTCACGGTCGAATTTTGAGAAAATCTAAGAATTACGCCTTATAGTCCGAAAAATACGGTAGTCACATTTTTACTATTTGAGGATTAACGAGTATTTTAACCTGCGTTAGCTAACAATCAGTGACGAAAAGGGGACGTTTTCTGTTCGTTTTCTTCCCAGAAGCGCGTGTGCACTATCTTGGTGTGCAGATATTGTTTCCCGTTACCAAGAAAGCCTCTGGTTTGAACGTGACGTCATCGTCTTCGTGTTTTCAGTCACTTTTACATTGTAAATTAATTAAATAGCGCCGTCAGGTCGCCGTCTGGCAACATGAGTTTTGTGGGGAAACGTGCCGAGCAAACGGTCTCTGTTTACGTTTGCTTGGCGTCTATATTGCACAATATATTGCAAATTAATCGACGCTGCAAGTGCATTTGCATTAAAAGTGTAGGTTTAAAACAATCGAACAGTGATATGGCAAGTTTTTCAACTTTAGTGCAACATTAATTTGTAACTTTCTTAATAGAACCTGTGTAAAAAAAATCTACCAAAATAAAACAAAACTGCACTGCTAAGGTCAAGTGGAAATCTTTTAAAGAATTTACAAACTTCTGTTTGGATCCATTTTCTTTCAGCTCTCTGGTATTTAAAAGATGAAGATAAAACATCGAAGTTTTGTTGTAACAGGAAATCTGGCTCAAATGTTCGTTTGCACATCAAAGGGTTGGATGATGAATTCTGGTTATTTTTAGGATCCTGATCGTTTTAATCGCTCTAAGTAAAAAAAAAAAAAAAAAAAAACTGAATCTTGATCTCCTGCATCTCCTCCATCTGTGCACCACCTCCCCTTTTCTCCTCCTCGTCACTCCTCTTCCTCCTCCCATCTGTGCTGCTGACCCTCGACCCCTCTCCTCCGGGCCCTGGGGGAGTCGACCTCCTCGAGTCGGGCATCCTGCGCTTCTTCCTCCTCCCCAGCTCCCATCTCCTCTACAACATCATCGTCATCATCTGTTTCGTGTCCCTCACTCTGCTCTTCATCGGACTCATCAGACTCATCCGAGTTGTCCTCTTCCAGATAGCGATAACCTTTGACCTGAGGCACAAATACATCCATGTTTGCAGATTGGGTTAATAACCATCTGAATATTTGGTCCTGATGTAAAAACAGTGTCTTGAAACGTCGAAACGTAAAGCTTGCGGTTGGTCACCTTGTGCCGCGGCCGAGGGATGCGAGGCATTCTGTGCTGCACTTTCCGAGCCACGCGGCGCTCCATCACCCAATAACAGTAACAGGCCACGAGCAACGTGAATAACAGGATGGCGAGTTTGGCCTAGAAGGAAAAATAATAATAATAATGAATTACCAAAACAATTCAATTCAAAAACGATGAGCTATCCTTTTGCTACTTTTAATCTGCCTTTTGTTACGTTAAGCCTTTGCCTGACCTATTGCTAATTTTCTTTAAGTTCCTTGCTAGCCTTTAGCTACTTTAGCCTTTACTGAACCTTTTGCCACTTTGAGGGTTTAGCTACCTTTTTGCTACTTTTTATTTGCTTTTTGTTAATTTTAGCCTTACCTTTTGCTACTTTTAGCTTTCAGATACCTTTTTGCTACCTTTAGCTACCATTTTGTTACACTTATCCAGCCTTTTACTACTTTTTGCTTCTTGCTAGCCTTCCCATTATACAAAGTATAATTTCCCTCTGGGATGAATAAAGTGTTTTTGAATTTGAATTAAATTCAATTTATTCATATAGCGCCACGTCACATCAACTCAAGGCACTGAACAGAAACGTTCATATATAAAAATAAGAATTTAACATATTTATCTGAGGAGCACACCGCTTCGGGTTTAAATCCAAAAGAACTCTCATCTTGAGCAAGCATGAAGGAGACAGTGGAAAGAAAAAACTGCCTCATGAGGAAGAAACCTTTAGCAGAACCAGTTTCAGGACAATCTGCTTCGGAACAATAAACTAAAAAACAAAAAACAATTCATTAATAACACCCCAAACGAAATCTTTCCTACCCTCATAGGGATATGGGACCAGAGGTAGACTATGAAGATGGCGATGGCCTGCCACCAGTGGTAGATGGTGTAAACAAAGTCCAGGCGTTCTTTTTCCTCAGCGTACAGCATCCCGACAACAGCTGGCACACAAAAGAAAAAACATTCATGTATTAAAACACCAACGTCTTTTAGACACTACAATCAAAGAGAGTGCTATAAAATTCCAGTTTAATAGAAAATAAAAAACACGATTTCCACCTGTTAAAAAAAACAAACACATCATCCATCCATCCATCATCTTCTGCTTATTCCAAAGTCTTGAACAGGGAATTCCAGACATCTCTTTCCACAGCCACCTCTTCCACCTTTTCTAGGATTCCAAGGCGTTCCAGGCCTACATCAGTTGAGAGACATACTGTATTTTCCACCCTATAAGTCACACGTTTTTGCATAATTGACATGCCCTGTGACTTATACGCCGAAGTGACATGTTTATGGATTTTTTACCATATTTATAAACCAATTTTTGGCTGAGATATGACTGTTTTCATTCATTCTGACTGAAATTTTTTTTTTAGCAGTACCACTTTCAGCCACTTGATGGCAGCAGAGTAGTAGTAGTAGAAGTATGGCATACCATTGTATCATGTAATAGGTAAACGTGGCTATCACGACAAATTCAAAAACTGGACTTTATTTATTATAATTTACCATGTTCTGGATGACTGTGAATCTTCACAGCTATTAATGACTCAATCAGCTCAGCTCCCTCTTCACCACAACGGACCGGCACAGAGTCCACAATACTGCAGATGCTGCACCAATTCGTCTGTCAATCTCACGCTCCATTCTTCCCTCACTTGTGAACAAAACCCTGAGATACTTGAACTTCTCCACTTGAGGCAGAACCTCACCCTCGACCCGAAGAGATCGATCCACCCTTTTCCGACATAAAAAACTAGAAAAGCTGCATTTTCTGCCAAAATGTGGTGAAACAGTAGACGATACTCACTGCTGACCCCCGTCTTGTTCAGGGCGGTTCCGAGCCCCCACAGCACGGCGATGACCAGCAGGGGGCCCAGGTACTGTGGTGAGTCAGGTTTTACAGACAGAGCCAGCAGGACCACCAGCAGGACCCCATGCACCACAGCCCCCCCGATCAGACACATCCACCGAGGGAGGCGTAGGAGGCTGAGGGAGAGGAGGGAAAACACGGAGCAGGAGAGGCCGTAGACGACTATCAGGAGCCACAGGGATTTCAGGCCCAAAATACAGACGCCGTAGGACTGTGGAGGACAAAAAACTGCACTAAAGGTTTAGAACTCCTGGTTTTTGTCCCCGCTACAAAATCCGATCATCTCATTTTTCATTTTAAAGAATGAACCCCATTTTTTACACATTCTGTTCCCAGTGATTTACTACAGAAAGCACGTGCACCAGTGCAGTACCAGTGAGAAGCCACTGATGGCGAACAGGACTTCAAATCCACTGTAGATGAAGAAAGGGCAGAGCAGTCTCAGACGGTAGTCCCTCAGGTGTTTGAAAGGCAGCTGGAAGATGTTTCCCCAGCCGATACTCCGAAGATCGATCTCTTCAGTCGGGCGGTAGGCAGGGCCACACAGCAGAAGGAACTGTGGGACGAAACGCCCACGTCACTTTATTCAGGAACAATCTTTCTGTAGTTTAAACACAACACAT